TTTCTATTATTCTTATTATTAAATTTTCAATTATTTATTGATTTTACTTGTTATAATATTATTTTTTTTTTATTTTTTTTACTCCAATTTTTTATGTTCATCATTTACACGGAAATGCACACTAGTTATAGTTCAAAGGCGTACGCATCATAGTAAAAGTTAATTAGAATAAGAAAAATATTATGCTACTCTTCTTGTTGTGTAGTCGCTTTGTAAACATCGCTTCTAATAATAATAATAATACAACACTGCAATGCAATATTACGCGCATGTAATTACATAAAAATCCCACAAAAGAATATATTTATTTATTTATTTATTTATTTAATTGATTTATTAGCACATATTTCACTAATTTTAAAAAAATGAATGAATGAGAAAAACAAAAAGCAAAGGAAACAAAAACAAAAGAAAATAAAATTTAATTGAAATAATTAAAAATAATATTAACATTAAATGTGATATATTTGTTGTATTGTACAACAAAATTATTCTTTTCGGTATATCTATTGGATTCGTAAAGCGAAACTGAAACGAAATAACGCTCGTAACGATGATCATATCCTAAACCACAAATACATGCGCAAATACTCGCTGCTCTATATGTATATTTTTTTACTCAAAAACACACATTAACGCACAGAGAGATCTCTCTCTCTCTCTCTCGATATCTGCTCGCTCTCTGCCTCTCTATATCTCGTTCATTTAAACTCTTTCATTGTCTCGTTTTCGCTCGCTCTCTCTCTCTCTGCCTCTCCCTCTCCCTGTCTTTCTCACTCTCTCTCTCGTGCTCCCTCTGATCTATTAAAACCAGATTTATTTTATCTCTTGTTATTTAAATTTGTTTACTTTGTAATTCTCTTTTTATTTACTCTTCTTTATACGTCTGAGCAAATCATTTTATTTTGTTTTCATATATACATATTTGTGTATGTGTGTGCTCAATGATAAAGAACGAAAAAGACGACAATGTAAAACAAAAACAAGAAATTCATTCACAAATTCTTATCAGTTAGTTATAAGCGTGTAGGAGCGCGTTTTGTTTGATTAACTTTGTATTTCTTTTTATTTATTTATTTATTTTTTTATTTTTTTGAAATTTTTTTTTTGCTTCTTTATTTAAAGAGAGAGAGAAGGCTAATTTTATGCTAGATGCAAGGAGAGTGTACACGCGTGCGAGTATCAGGGAGCGGTTGAAAATGAAATACAAAAAAAAAAAAAAAAAAAAAAAGAAACCGGAAACGGCCATCATCGTTGTCGACATACAACAACATGTTGTTTCTTTTTCTTTAAAACACATCAGAATTTTTTTTTTTTCCTTTTACAAAAATATGCAAAAAAAAAAAAAAATGTAAAAATAAAAAATAAATAAATATACTGCAAAATATAGTGAAGACATAAAAATGATTATATCGATGTATTTATATTAAATGTAAGGTTACTCTTAAGGATGAAAATTTTTAAATCATAATCGCTTTTATTTAAGTTGAAAAGTCATTTTAGAAACGAGAAACAATTAGGTTTTGGTCAATAGAAGCCCATTGCTTAAATAAATAAACTTTCAAGCGCTGCCTATAAGACTTGGTAATTAAAAGGAATAATTGAGAGCCCGTAACGGATCAAGTGTTGTACATTCAAGTAAATCTCTCATATTTTAGGGTACTAGGTTAAACAATCAAAATCCGGAATTCCTGGCTAACCAAGAAG